TCAGGTGTCTGTAAACAGATTCCCCCCTGTATAAAAAAAGGCCTTCCCCTGCACTAACTTCACCAACTGTTGTAAGGCGGTTGTCTTCTCTGCATTACTTATCTCCTCTGTTCTCGGAACTTCTGGCTGCTTCTTCAGAATACTGATGAATCTCTGTACCCATACCATAACATGAACCATTCGTCGATAAGAGCTGATGTTCACGAATATAGGGAATGATTCAATGGGTTGCTCGGCACTAAGGTTGACAGCTACTCGAATTTCAGGGATTTCTTCAGGATCTTGGAACTCCTGTAGCCACACAGTTTCGGTACTTGACAGGAACTCAGGACCATTCCACCACAAAGATGAATTTTGGAGATCCTTTGGCATCATTCCTCTCGATATGATGTCCGCTGGGTTGTCATTGGTGCCTACGTGACGCCACTTCATAGTCGATGTCAACGCCTGGATATTTGTGACATGATTTGCCCCAAATAGCTTGAGTTGTTCTGGACGTCGATTGATCCAAGCAAGAGCGATTGTAGAATCGCACTAGAGCACGGTTTGATCCGTAGAAATGTTTGATGATTTAATGGTAGCAGTGACTTATTGAGCTAAGAGCAGAGCACCACATAATTCCAGCCTGGGTATTGTAAGATCAGACTGCGATTTTCTTGGGCTTGTGGATTTCTTGATAGGGGCCACACGTGACTTTGAGCATACTAGCGATACATTGTCCTGACCGTTTTCTTAAGCGGACCTCAGATAGAAGCACGCACCGTAGGCGTACTTTGATGCATCACAAAAGCCATGGATTTGGATAGAGACCGATGCAAATGGCAGAATGCAACGCCTCAGCTTGACCTTTCGTAGACACTCCAACTGCGACTTGAAATCTGCCCATTCTTCGACGTCTTCTTTGTCAGCATCCTCATCCAAATTTTTCTCCTTCTTCCACATGAATTGTATGATGAGTTTCACCACGATGATTACTGGCCCAGTCAAGCCAATCGGATCGAAGAACTTTGAGATGCTCGATAATATAGTCCGCTTCGTAGTCTCCGATTTACCGACGATGATGGAATCAACGTTGAACATGAAAACATCTTCGTCAGGTTTCCAAACAATTCCAAGAGCCTTAACCGATTGTTTCTCACCAACCAGCATCTTCTTCTCAATGCTGTCCTGAGGGAGGGTTTTGAGAAATTCACTGCTGTTCGAGAACCACTTGTGAAGCTCGAATTTGCCGCTTACAAAAAGTCCCATGATCTCATGTTGCAGTTGGATCTCTTGATCGAGTGTTTCTGCTCCTGTTAAAACGTCATCAATGTACGAATCTTCAGCTACAACCTTCGCCGCCTAAGGAAAACGTGCTGCTTCGGCGATACAAAGTTGCTTCACTGCTCAAACCGCTTGGAATGGTGCACTCGCTAGTCCGTAAGTCACCGTTGTAAGTCGATACTCGATTGGATTTCTTATTTCCTTGACTGTCCACAAGTTGAAATTGTTGATGCTTACCTGCAGTTACTACCTGTCGATACATTTTACCAACGTCTGCCGTAAACGCAATCTTCGGAACTCGGAACTTCATCGATATTTCATTTAGTTTGAATTGTATCACCTGTTCAACAAGAAGGTTATCGTTCAGTGCTACTGTCCGGTTTCTTGACAGCATGGTGAGGAAGGAACTAAATGTGTCCAGGTTCAGATACGTAAATTTCCAAAGGACCAACCTCCACTATATGCCCCAGACTGATGTATTCATTAATGAAGTCCTCGTAATCTCCAGCCAGCAACCAATTTTTGATTAGTCTCATGTCTAGGACATGAAGTCGTTTCAATGCCATCTGATTCGAATCACCAAGATTAGGACAGCCTTGCTTGAAGGGTAATTCCACCACGTATCGACCATCCTCCTGACGACGGTAAGTCGACGTTCTGCTTGATCTTCTTCAGTCGTACACTTCGATTCAGTACCACAATCTTCCACTTCCCAGAAACGCTTCAGCAATTCATCCAGATCCTCGTTTGTGACCAAAGCAGAAACTAGTGGCTTCTTGACTTCCACTTTTCCACCAATCACCCAACCAAAAGGCGTTTGTTGCATAACAGGGCTACCATTCAGCAGAGGGACCCGGTTGTTCTCCAAGACCTTCGTGTATACATCCATACCAATCAGGAATCATCAAGGTATCTACCTCAAAACCTTCGAGAGGAAGATCTGCTGTTATCCGCTTAGTAACCAGACATTCGATTTCGGTCTCGTACCTGGATCTCCCTTGGGTTTTCACAGCCCAAGCCACTGAACGCAGTCTTCGGTAATATAGTGGACCATGGATCCAGAATTCAAGAGCACTCGGACCTTGTGTAACTTCTTGTGGTAGTCTTGTTGTTCACGTTGATCTTTGGGTTGTTCAATCGGTACATTCTCCCTCGGGACTACGGAAAATGATTGTTTGGTTTCCAAATGCAGCAATGTATGGTGTTTCTTCTGGCAGGTTCGACACAAACTCCGATTGCATTGACTCGACGTGTGGCTGTTGGACAAACAGTTGAAGCAAAGGTTAAGCACTTTCGCTTTCTCGATAGGTTGTGGATAAGTCAGCTACAAGAAACCTTCACACTGGTTGATGCAATGGTTTTGACGACACAAGAAACAACTGGTTTTGCTGCGCTCACGAGTAGTAGTTGTAGCGAATGCACGATTCGATGATGACGATCGAGGACCAGAAGCAGAGGTCAAAGGTTTCGACGAACGGTTGGCAGTAACAGGGGCACAACTTTTGTTTATACATTCCAAATTCTCCAACATACGGCAGTGGTTTCCCAAAAAATCTACCAATTCCTTCCCTGATGGACTTTCACTTTCTCCGATTTCTGCTCATACTACCGACGAGTTCGTGGGTGAAGACGCATCATGACCATTTGGCCGAAAACCAATTCGGACATTTTATCCAGTGTAATTCCAAGGGCATTCAAAGTTCGAATGTGCTTCAGGAAACTATCTAGCATTGTTCGCAAACCTGCAGCATTTTCGGACGTCAGAGAGGAAATCTTGAACAAATCACCCAAATGTTTTTCGATCGACCATCGCTTTTTTTCGTAGCGACGGGTCAATGCATCCCAGAGAGAGGAGAAAGTCTTTTCGTTGCATTGCAAGTTTCTTGCTTCCCCACACAGACACATTCGTAAATAGTACAAGCGTTCGAAATCGTCCAAATTCTCACGACGACAGATAATCGAATTAAACTGATCCCGAAAGTAAATCCAGTTTTCGTAATGACCGTCCAATTTGGGAAGCGGAGTGTCGGGCAATTTGGATTTTGAGGAATGAGAATCAGATTATTGTTTCACGGAACTGTTTGTTGAAGGTCTGGCTTCCCGAGCAAGAACAAATATCTCGATACCTTAAATTGGTATGGATGAGCCTGACATAAGAGGTAAAATACCAAAAAATAATACCAAAAACATGTTCGCAAAATATCATTCCAATACCAAATTATGATAATGCAATACCAAAACAATACCACCCAGGTATTCTTTTGGTATCCAAATATCATTTTTTGGTGTTTACAAAGTATTTTCCATGTAATTTTTTGGTATTATTCTTTGGTATTTTACCTCTTGTGTCATGCTGGTCAATACCACATTTTGGTATCAGATCAGAATCAGGTATCAAATCAAAACGGTTCACCTTTAGGAAACTATTTTCAATCGTCTCACTCACACTCGCAATGAATGCGATGGGAAATTTTGGTTATTTCGCTACAAAATTTAGGTTTTTGGCTAGCTAATCCCAACAAACATTGAATGTTAAATAATAGCTTATTCAGGCAAAAATAAGCTTCTTCAGCTAAAAAATGGCTTATTCAGCTGTTAATCAACCCAAATTGTTTGCTGGGAATTTATTTCACACACTCGCGATCTCCACTTTCGGTATGGCGGTACGTTAATTGTCCGTACTTTATTCGCAATTCGAGTGCAAAGTCTCGAAATTGCCACGAATCAAATTTTGCACGTGCTCTGCTCGATGGTCATAAACACAATGGCGAACAAAATATTTTCTGCTGCTTTTATTTGCACGGCTTATACACTCGCTCCTCGGCCCAGGTGAGAAAGAGAGGTGCCACAGTCGGAAGAAGTGTGAGTTTGTTTACTCAAATGAACCATGCCCATTTTGTTATGGCATGTTTGCTATAAGAAATGCTCCACGTGTTCATTAGCGAAATTCACATCAAAGATTGATTAACTGCGTAGGAAATCAGTTTGGCACGGCATTTGTGACCAGCATACACCTTCCGGTCGTATGAAACAGGTCAAAAACTGTCCAAATCCACAAATAAAAATTTTTGTTTTGAATTTCTGTATGGCAAAATAGTGAACTTTTCGTGAACATTAACGGCAAAGAACTCACCAACACTGGGAGACCGTGAGCGAGATGGAAAATGACAGGTGGGCAGGAACTCACGGTCTCCCAGTGTTGTTGAGTTCTTTGCCGTTAATGTTCACGAAAAGTTCACTATTTTGCCATACAGAAATTCAAAACAAAAATGTTTATGGGCGGATTTGGACAGTTCTTGACCTGTTTCATACGACCGGAAGGTGTATGCTAGTCACAAATTCCGTGCCAAACTGATTTCCTACGCAATTAATCAATCTTTGAAGTGGATTTTTGCTAATAAACACGAGGAGCATTTCGTATAGCAAAGCTTGCCATAACAAAATGGGCGGTTCATTTTAGTAAACAAACTAACACTTCTTGCAACTGTGTCACCTATGTATTAGGCGCCTAGGACCGTGAGTTCCTGCCCACCTGTCATAAAACCGTCTTGCACTCGCTCGGTACGTCACTCGCTACAGAGAATATCTCACCAAACTCTCGATGAATGATTTTGATTTTCACAGAGAATACGTAGAGTAACCAGCTACATATATCGACTGAAATACACATAATTGACATTTTTTGTTGTGGAAAACAATGGTGACATGGAAACTTCGTTTTATTTTCGTTCCGATAGGATAGGACGGCATCGCAACTTAGGCAGGAAGAAAACTTCCGTTAACGCTACATCGACCATGGGTGGATCGAAATACACCAGTGTCCAGGATACAACGACGATTCCGTTGAATACAGTGTCCCCTTGAGGATCAATGGCTTCGCAACTCTGTGGGCCAGATGCGGCTGCATGCATGACTCTTATCTACGCTTATTTTATATGCATTCTTAGAGGCACAGAGTATGCTTCAAGTGTGCTGAAATAGAGTAACGAGATCTTATTTTGTAAGTGTCACCAGAACTCACGATTGATGCAGGTAATGAAAGTAAGCAGTTTACCAAAGAACACAGCTGTTTGATGGTTTCCATGGACAATGTCATACATTTAGGCAACAGTTTGTTTAAGTCAGTAAAATATACAAAATAGGAGAATAGTACCACGAAACCCAATCGTGCAGTATTTCTTTAGAATTTTGAGTTCGAGTAATTAAAAAATGATTTGAACAAAACACCCTTAAAAACCGCGAACAAGCATTTACAGTGTATTTTTATATATTCTTAGTTTAATAGTCAGATTATGCGACAGTTTTTCGAAGACAAAAGATATAATGCTGGCATAGTCTTAATGCTCAAGATAGAAATTATAGTCAATAGTTTTAAATATGTTGTTTGATTCAGCGCTTTACAATACACGACAACATTTTTGTGTGTACATGATGATGTCTAAAATTGGTACACAATCAATATTTTTTTTTCTGCGATAAATAGAAGAACCTTCTTCGCCACTAGTTAATAGAGGACTACCAAAGTAAAGTATTTTTTTAAAGCATTGGCAATTTGTATTGCGGAAAACTATGCAGAATCCGATACTCTGTTGATGTTTTAAAATATTTGTTAGATTTCCACGTAAACGTTCCTTCTGTTTAATCATTGTTCGGTATTGTATGTAGCAAGTTTGATGATGTCAATAGGTTTGGATCATTGAAGTCGATAAGTCAATGGACGGAAACAATCGAAACTAGTGCGTAGTTTAAGGTAGGTAAATGTAAGTTTCTCGGACCAAAGAAATCACCAAACATTGTACATTTATAAGTTATCCAGAATGATAAACTCCAGTATATACAGCACTTATTCATACAGAGAGCTTTCATGGATAAAATACAGTATTACTCTGCTAATTCAACAAAATCACGTCAAAGTTTTCGAATATTGACTCGATACTTCTGCTTCATGTTAAAACAAATATACAAAACCGATAGCATACTCACAACAGAAAACCATGTCCGGATTTGAAAATCCGAAAGTATCCGAAACCACATGGATTATGTACATCCCGCGCAATCCATGACAAAGTAAATACTTCTCCCTAGGGGTAGGTCACTCCGCACACCAATCTTGGGTCATCTTTTTTGTCAGTGTGCCGCAAATATGCCGATTTTGCCGGTCATACAGCAAGCTGCGATTGTTAGTAAAATACCCATCCCGGCAACCCGGTATTTCTGACACCTTGAATGTTTTGGTTTGAAATCGCAAGGATAAATAAATCGGATTGAGGATGACGCGGGAAATGGAGGGTGTGCGACATTTCAGTGATTTGTGATCCATAGGGCAATAAAAGTCCTGTGTTTTAGTGTTTTATAATGCCCTCAAAGGCAGACCAGAAACCTAGCCTTTCGGCCGGAAAGAGTTGGAACCGGTGGGGAGCATTGTTGGAGACCGGCTATAGTGGGTGATGAATAAACTTCTTTAGTTTGTTTAGTTAGAGTTAAGGGTACTAATGAGGTCCGATTAACTGCCTCTTTCTCTTGAACCCACTCTTGAACCTACATTTCGTATTTAGATCTATAAGAGAACTGCTGGTCTGAGTTCCTATGATATATTCAATTAGAAGATGTTCCTGAACATACAGTCAAACAGCACGCAATGTTCTGAACAACTTGAATGACAGTTGTTCAGCAGTGCTCCCATTTAATTAACAACGAAATGGGAGCACTGCTGAATATAATTATTTAATTATAATTAATATATATGTAGAATATAATTTCGACACAATCAATACTTACCCCTTGACTTCTCCATTATATCGTCTTGTCATAGCTTGTCACAGATTTAAGATTTTTCCCACCTAAGAGCATGACATACCTAATCGATTGTTCCCAAGTGTAGCTTTCTGTCCTTCAATCCGTATTAGGGTCTGAATTATGGAGTGTTGGTTCTGCCGAGGTATTCATGTATTTAAACATTTACATTTGTACAACAACATTTAAACTGTGCTAGTGCTGATAAAATTTTTGTACTAACATTATAGAATATGATTAATCGATAGTCTAGTGTAAATTTGATTGCTAGAAATACAATGAGTTGTGGAGCTGACCATGAACCCAGAAAGTATATAGTTGGATTCTTTTTGTGAAATTTCAGACCTTGATCCAAACGGAACCTTGTTCCATTTATGGTGCTGAGCTGGCAGTAGTCAGCTTCGCATATTGGAGACATTGGCGTAGCTAATGAGGGTACCTAAGGGGACAGCCAATTCAAATACCTATACCTATACCTAACTAAAATGAATAGTTCAACATGTATTAACAGATCTTCTTCAACGTCTTCAATCCTCGTCGACGTTGCTCTCCAAAACTTATGCATCCTCTAGTGCTCTGCGATCGGGAACTGGTCATGACCGTCCGTCAAGCCAAATCAACCGTTGGCGGTACTTCTGACCTAATCCATTTATCCCGACTGCTTGTTATGCCTTCGGTTAAATTCGCTGCTCACATACTTCCGCCTTGGTAAGCAAATATGATGGCCTCTGCAGGTGGAATCGGTCTTCGTATCCTGTCGAAGAATAAGACGGCTTGATTCCAGTACACATTCGTAAGATAAGGGACATAACTTAACTGTCGCCCCCTGGCGTTAACAGACGAAACTCTCCATTCTTGCCAAAGTGTGCCCCAATGGGGGCGTGAAATTTTCAACGGAAGTAGCTGCGAAGACGGTCAGAGGTCGAAAGGTTTCTGTTGAAGAGGAAAACAGATCAGGCTTCGAACAACTTATTGGATTTAGGAAACATAACTTTCAGGGCGACCCCTGGCGATTACAGCTGAAACGCCGTCAGCAGCCAATGTGCCCCTACTGGGGCCATACTTATCTGAGATTTCCCGAGGTGGATGTTGATCCGTGGAACGAGCATCGAATGGTTGAGCCTTGGAGATGATTCTGGTGGAAGGGAATTCGATTGGCTTCCGAAATACTACTTAATTCTAATGAACGTAACTTATGCTGCGGCCCCTGGCATATATGACATGGAGTGTCGTGAACCGTCAAATTTGCCCCAAATGGGGCCATACTTAGCTGAGTTGATCTTCAGTGATCGAAGCGATGGCCTTCCGCGCCTGGCAACAAATCTTCTTAGAGCGGCCAGAAATGCATCGGTCGTAAGGTCCATTACGACTTCAACGTGGACGGCAGACGTAGCATTTTACAGGAGGCTGCAACTCAAACGGTCCACAATAATCGATTCCCACTCGTTGGAAAGGAGGGGCTGGCGATACTCTTTCGAGTGGCAAAGCTGCTCGTGAGCTCGTGGTTTCGCTCTGAAACAGTTCATGCATTCGTGCGTTACCTTCCTTGCTAGGTTTCTGACGCTCAATGGCCAAAACTTCTCACGAACGCAGGATATCATCAACTGCGGTCCTCCGTGCAGCAATTGATGGTGGTAGTTTATCAAAATTAACCTTGTCAATGGATGTCGGCTATGCAAGATCATCGGGTGTTTTTGCCTTTGCAAAATTGAAGCATTTCCAAGTCGGCCACCGACGCAGATCGTCCCGTCGATCATCACAGAGTTCAGATTACGAAGCTTCGATGATGGCTAGACCTCACTCTTTGCTGCAAGATCCGATAATTCCAGCGGGAAACATTCCAATTGCGCTAACTGCACTAGAACTAGCAAAGCTTCTTCATGTTCAGTGGCTGTTACAACTCCGATTTTTTTTCTGCAACTTATTTCGGGGTTTGCAATTAAAAGAAAACCGCCGTAACCAAGCGGTCAGACGAACAAGGTTTAATAGAGTCGAACGTAACGTGAAGATCTCAATTGGAGGCAGAATCTGTAGGACTGCTGTCACTAGCGGTTTCTCCTCCAGGATCACTGAATCGAACTGCTGATCTGGAACCTGCACGTTAACTGGCCAGTACTGTGTTTCCTTCTTCAGCCATTCTGGACCATTCCACCACAGAGTGTTGCTTGCTATCTGAGCTGGAGTGGCTCCTCTCGAAATAATGTCAGCAGGATTTTCGATTCCCGGAACATGATTCCAGATTCCACCCTTTGTCACATGTTTTATCTCTGATACACGATTGGCCACAAAGACCTGCCATCTTGACGGGTGTGATGAAATCCAACATTTTACAATCGTAGAATCTGTCCAGAAGTAGGATTTGGCTGCTATCAGCCGAGGTGTGGATTGCGTCTTCTTTCTTCTGTTGAGGTCATCCAACGGCGCGACCTTTGATTTGGCCATCAGTAGGTTGACCATGACTTCTCCGTCCCGGTTCACACATCGCAAGTATACCGCAGCACCATATGCTTTACCGCTTGCATCGCTGAATCCGTGGAATTCACATGAGATTACATCTCTTCCGAACCTGATCCGTCGAGGAACAGACACATACAAAATTGGTTCTGAACTCCAACCATCGGGACTGAAGCTCATTGCTTAGTGGTTCATCCCAGGAGTACTTCGCCTTCCAAATCTCTTGGAGAAAGAGTTTTCCTTGGACTACTACTGGACCAACTAGTTCGTAGGGGTCGAAAAGACGTGCTATCTCGGAGAGAACAACACGATGCGTGATTGTCCTGTAGCTGACGATAGATGTGTCAGAATCTCCCGGCAACAATCCATCCCAGCTGCGTATTTCGTAGTATAAGTCCCGAATTAGAAAGCTTCCGCTGGGCATTCAACAGAAGATCGTAGAACATTACTGCTCCCAAAATCACATTGATGACTCCGGATTCATTGAAAGCTGGATCCGCAAGAGAAGTTCCCTCTGGGAGATTCCAGGACGAAACATCGATGCTTTGCTGTGACAGGTTTGACGTAATTTTTGATAGCACGTAGAACTTCAGCTCACACGACACATACGATGAGGTACACGATGAGGCTTGCTTACTAACAGATAAACAACCACCCACTCCTTTTACAGGCAGATTTTCCCGAAGGCGTTGGAAGTTTAGTCTCTGAGACAATGTTTCAGATAGTATGCAGATCTGAGATCCGTTATCCAACAAACGCGTGCAAGAACGGTGTTTCCGTGACGATCACCGAGCTTCATGATAGCGGTAGATAGTAGCGCAATGTTTGAATGATGGTGTGTTTTGGATGGTGTAGCAGTGTGGTGTATTGTTGGAGTATTGGTGGGAGGTGGACGTGAATTCTGCGAAGATGTACTTGGTGTTTGTGTAGACTGTGGGTTGGGGAGCGAAGTGTTCCGGTTTTGGGCCTGATTGGATTGCTGTGGTGGTAGATTCGCGGCTTGAGGTCTCTACGGTAAAACTTGGGAGGAGGGCTGACTAGAAGTATGCTCCTGATTCACTGGACTCACGTACGGATGAAGCAGATAATGATGATTCTGTCCGCACTTGCTATACGTAGACCTCGAACAATCCATTACGAAGTGCCCTAATCGTAAACAGTTCAAGCACAATTCAAGTTTCCTAACAATCGCCTTCCTATCGATGACCTTCATCTTCCCAAAGCGCCTACACTGTTTAATGGAATGTGTTCCGCCGTTGCAGACTTGACAATTTCCATTGGATGACACTGCAGCGTGAATCACTGGGTTCTTGAACGGTCGTTTGAAATCACTGCTTCTTCGTGCAGACGTAGACTGCAGGAAAGCACAGTGTTTCTCCAGGAACTCCACCGTGGACTTGTACGACGGAATGTCCTTTGAACTATGATGCGTCTCCCAGTGACGAATCGTATCGTCATCCAGCTTCTGGGAAAGCATGAAGGCTAGCAGAGTGCTCCAATCATTAGTATTCTCTCCTAACTTCTCCAACTGTTGAAGGTTGATTCTGAACGTTGTTAGGACATGATTCAGCCCCTGGAAGCTCTCGGACTTCATTGGTGCAATCGAGAAAATTGTCCTCATATGTTCCTGTGCGATGAGCTTATGATTCTCGTCTTAGATTCCAGAATAGCCCAAGCAAGATTGTAGTTCGCAGCAGTGACTTGAATCTGGTTGATTTTTAGTAGAGCATCGTCCTTCAACGCCGTACGTAGATACACGGAAACAAATCCGATTCCATTTTCATGAATAAAAAATCATGAAATGAAAAAACTTGCCATCCCATGAAATCGTAACAATGATTCATGATTTCGTCATGGAAATTCATGACTTCATAATGCAAAATACGAATCTCAAAAAGTGCTTACAGTTTCTTCTTCGTCGATATCACTGTTCTCGCCGTTGTCATCCTGTGATGGCCAAAAGTTGCAGAGCATCCCCGGAGTAGACCTCACTTTTATTTTTCGGTAGTTCAATCATGTTGAAAATTAACGGATCGGAGGATTCCAGAAGACGGTGAAGAAGATCTGTATTCGTGGCTTCTCTGGAAAACTTTCTTCTGTGGTGGGTTCTGTATTGCTTGGTAGCTTTGTTTCTGCTTTCCTTGGTCTCTTTAGGTAGTTGCCCAGTGGGTATTAGAAACAACGATATCACTTTCACACCGTGTATGAGCACTTTATGAACAGACACAGGGAAATAGTACAATGGATATAGATCCACTAGTTTACGAGCCGTTTCTATTCCGTTTCTATTCCGTAGCTTTCGAACCTCTCGCTGCTAATTTCGTAGCCTGAAGATAGTTTAAGAGTTATTAATTGAATACACATTTATCCAAGTATTCATATGATTTATTACCTGACGTTAATTTCCAACATAAGGGAACTACCAAGGTGTGCTCCAGGGATGCTCTGCAACTTTTGGCCATCACAGATGACAACGGCGAGAACAATGATATCGACGAAGAGGAAACTGTAAGCACTCTTTGAGATTCGTATAATTTGAATCGGAACGTTATAAACAGTAAACATGAATGATTTTGGTATTGTTTATTGACAAAATCGAAAAATATTTATAGTGCATAAGCGATTCAGTCAAGGGTCGTTTTGGGGTGGTCTGGTTTTGATCCCGAGTCATTTTTTAGTCACTAGAAATAACCCAGGTTGCTTGGTTATCCATTTGTATGCCTCTTTTCACACCTACTCGATAACAGTCCTGTGGTTTAACAAAATCGCCATTTAAAATTCTGAAAAGTGAGAAATTTAAATGCAAATATTTCGGGTAAGAGTCACGTGGGGGCGGTCTGGTTTTTTCACCATTTCATTGCATTTTCTTGTACTTTCAATTGCTTAAAGAATGACCTGCTCGTTTTTGCCCGTTTAGAAGTTATTGGTATTGGAAGTTGGGTAATTCTCAACCAAAAAATGTGAATAACTTTTCAAATATTAATGATAGCAATTTGCAGTCTTTTGAAAAGATATGTAATTTGATATATCTATCATCTTTGCAGAGCAAGCCAAACATGTAGAAATATTGTAGAAAAAGTTACAGATACAAAATTGATTTTAACGATGTCTACACAAAAAAAAAACCTTTATATCTCAGCAGTTATAAGAACTACAAAGTTATAGTCTTCAACAAAGTTGTTCACTGTAATGTTTTCTATAGCTTTACCGAACCCAATTAATTTGTATTTCATCATATTAAAAAAAAAATTGCATCTCACTTTTAGGTGGATTAATCTTTAATATTCTGTTACCATAAGAAGGAGTGTTGTAACTCGAGAAACTTCTCACAAGACACCTAGAACCTTTAATCAACCATTTCAGCGTAAATAAAAAAGCGCGTGTTTTGATACCCTTGGCACCACTGTGCACCGTATTTCAAGTGATGATCATCGCTTCAAAAGTAAGAAAGAACTCTTTTTTCCACCATTTATTATTTTCAAAAATCTGTAAATCTCTTCGACCAAAATTAAAAATCTATTTAAAGTCTTTTACGTGTAAAATGTCCACTAGAAAAATGAAAAGTCTGCACATTCACAGACATGTCTAAAAAACTGGCATCTCTGGTCATCCTTCGCCTGAATAATCCAGGTTTAATACACCGGATAAAAAAAAAAAACAAAATTCAGGTGCTCAAATCCTATGCTGTCAATTGATACAAATACAAACGCTACACCGTTTATTTGAATTGTGTGTTTCCCATCTACTACCATCAGCAACCAACCATCAGCGAACGAATGGGTTTTAATTTGGTCGTAAACAGTGCCGATCATCCATCAGCGCCGTTCTCAACGAGATTGAATTCATAATATTGGGCAAATTGTGTTCGCACGTTAGGTATGGGAAAACAAAAAGAAAAATAAATTCCGTCCTCTATTTTTGGCCGGCGCAAAAATATAATCATTCCGTTACTAAAACATCACCAATCTGCGGCGCCGCGCACACATACGGTCGTTTACAGTCACAGTAACTGGTCTCACGCAGTCCAAGTAGCTAGCTGAATGCATTCGCCACAAAGTCTAAGCGATTCGATTCGGGAAAAATGAGATTTGAATTGTGAGTGAAGTTGACGGATCTATTAGACTGTATTTATGGCGCCCACGTCGATAATCGAAGATGACTGGAATTCTACCGTGTTTGATCTTTGGGCGGAAGATTCCAAGGAAGTTGGCAATAGTTTGTGGTACATTGTTGGTAAGTTGACTGTAGTGGATTTTTTTTTTTTCCGAGTGGCGTTTACAAGTGGTGGTTACTTAACAGGTTGCCTCATCTGCATCACTCTGCTGTCGATCGTGCTGATCCTGTACATGATCATCCCGAACCTTCGATGCGTCCGGGGATATAAGACATGTTTTTTCCTGCTCGGATTGATCACGGCTTACCTTGGTATGCTGGCAATGAATTTGAGAACGATGGTGATTCCATGTCAAGTTCAGGGATACTTGTATGCCTTCGGCATCGTGATCAGCGTGTTTTGGTTGAACGTGCTATGCTACGATTGCTATGCACTGTTCCGTAGCAGTGGAGGAAATAGTGCCGAGAAAAATCGTTTCGCCTACAGTTGCTTGTACGGTTGGGGAGGTCCGCTGGCACTATTGCTGTTTACTTTATTCATGGAACGTGCCAAAACGGTCCAGGAGACCCTGAGACCTAACTTCAGCACTTGGGCTTGTTATTTTATTCGTGAGTATGAGTTGTGATGAATTTTTGCCAACTAATTTGTATCATTCATTTTCCCGACAGCCAACAAAACTGCCGAATTCCTGTATTTTTTTCTCCCAGTGCTACTGCTCATGATCATTGGAATATTTTTCCTATTAGTTGGAGCTTATCAAGCGAGGATACTACATCGTGTTCCGAGGAATGTTGTTCGATTCGATAGAAGTAGTGATCACGAGAGATTTTTATTCACATTACGAATATTCATCGCTACAGCTCTGACAGTTACATTGAATTTAGCATCGTGGGTATTCGCTGAAGCACTCTGGTTACAGTGGACGTCCGGTATTTGCGGTTACATCATGGGGGTGGCGATATTCTTGCTGTGTATTTGCAATCCCGAAGTGACACAATGGTTAGCGAAACGGTGTTGTTAGTGGAAAAAGATAGACTTTCGTCAATTGTAAGCTTTCCATAATATAAATCATCGCTAAGTGTACAACAGATGTATCGATTTTGGCGGAAAGGTCTTTTGAAAAACACGATCGGTGAAAATACATTATTTTTAGTTGACTAAACAATCGTTCATTAATTTCACTGATGCAATGTTTAAAAGTGTTGTTCTAAGGTGCTCAAATATTTCCAAATCGACTAACTACTAGCCATAAACAACTCAATTGATGACTTTCAAACTAAATACATACCCTAGTAGCACGCTTGTCACAAATCGGTTGTGGCAACTTCTATACCACTTATATCAGCCATAAACAAGTTGCTGCAATTTATTGTGACAGAAATGTGCTACTCGGGTAGCAGCTGACAAGACGTAAACTATTAGTAATAAATATTTGCACATGTCACACTACTACTTTTTAAATTTGCGGAAGGAAAAAGGTGTACACTATTTCAGATCTCTCAAACTGAGTATCTTAGAAGTCAATGGCAATTCGTAGAAGGTAAGAATTCATTTTCAGGAACTCCCTAGAAGGTTGGGGACCTTCGTAAAAGTTTAGGAAATTATAACAAGGAACTTCATACATTTTCAGAAGCTTTATAGATCTGTGGAACTTCAGCTAGCTTTCTGGATGTGCAACAAATTATCTTCTTATAAAACTTCAATGAACTTCGTAGAAATGCAGATAATTTGGTAGAACAACATCAGGCTTTATAGAATGTTATAGAAATTTGGGGAGGTTATTTGTGTTATTTGCATATTTTACCATTACTGTTCTTTTAAAAACTTGAGATGTTCAAGAGAAATCCAAGAAATGCAGAGAATCTAATATAAATTCATAAGGTCTCGAAATAATTATGGGAAACTTCGAAGAAGTGGAAAATTTTCTTCTTTTTTTTTTCCTTTATTTAACGTCGGTCTCTGTTCCGCAATCTAGTGCCAATCACCGACGGACTTCGATTGTCATACACTGACGACAATCGAATGTGCAAGCAGGCAGCTTCCACACCTGCGCACGATATCGCACCCATTCACAACACACATGAGCCGGGACCAACGGCTTTACTTCCCTTCCGAAGGAAGACGTGACCAGAGATGTTTATGCCTCAGAAAAATCCCACCAACCTCGGCTGGGATTGAACCCAGACCCATTGAGGTGTTAGAAAGCAGTCACGCTTACCGGCGCCGGCATGTGGAAAATTTTGATTTATAACTTTATTGATTTCATGCAGCATCTTTTACTTAAGGGCTTCTTTAAAGATAGGACTTGTAATAGTTCAGAAGTGCATCATTTTTTCTTGATGGAACTAGACAGAAAATCATTGAAATACTCAAGAGGTCATAAAGCTTCATAGAAGTGAAGGGAAATGATAGTAGTTCAGCGGTCTTTTAAGAAGTTAAGCGAATAAAGTTGATTTTGTAAATGTTAACTATGTTAAACCTTAGTGTTCGTAGGGGCCCAACAAAGTCAGTTTTAATTGAAAATCTTGAACACGATGGAGCCGTTCCATTAATATCGGTAGTTTTGGAATCGGGGTGACGTCTAGAGATCGAAAATTAGACGCTATTCTGAAGTCCAAGATTTTTTTCCTTGATTCGTTTTCTGTCGATCTTGCTTTCCGTACTGACTACAAATGCTACCGATACCAGGGAGGCAACACCCCCCACCTGGACCCTACCTATTGACACATCAGCTCATAGACTGGGGACCAACGGCAACGGTTTGACCAACCGGTGGAAACTAACGATTTAAAATTGGCGAGATCAGAGATTTTATGCCCCTAAGAAAATCCTGGCAGCGCCGACTGCGACTGGACCCAGTCCTTTTGGGGTGAGAGGCAATCTCGCTTACCACTACACCACGCTGTGAAATCCATAGCGGCTTCCAGTTTAAGAAAAAAAAGGGGAACCCAACTAACATTTTCAGCTTTATAAGCTAGCTTTTCCAGCGTTGTACTGTAAAGTAGCTGAAACAAATCTGCAGATACAGCTACAAACAGAAGCTGGCAGAATAATTTTGGAGAGCGTTTTCAACTTTTTCACAACCATTATTCAATTTGTCACCGCACTGAATAACATCACCCAATAAACGCTAATGTGACTTATATGCAAATATTAATCAACTTGTAACGTTCCCTGTGTTACGCTAAGCTGACGGCTTAAGCGCCACCTTTCAAAGAAGGACCGTCAACTCGTTCTTAATTACCCGGCAAGAAACTTCCCTTCTCAGGGCAGGTCACTCAGATGTTGACACAAACGAACTTACATATTTTGACCCAAACGTCTTTAGCCAACCAATCAGATTAGGATACTCAAATTTAAAAACACCAATTCAAACCGCGAAAATGAAATAATTCTTTAAAATCAACTAAGGGGAAATATGCAATAGTTATTTAAATCCAAACCAATCTAACAAATATAAACATAGACAAATAACGTGACGCAAAAGATGTGTGGAGTCAATAATCTAAACTAGAAGTAATTTTTATTTTATTCAATTTACTTGGACGAAACCCGAATATACTAAATTTAAATTTATCGAGCTAGCGATTTATTAATTAAAATTCAAGGGAAATCGAAATTTATTGAATTAAGGCAAACCTAACAGTTTCCTACTGTGACGTCACGTTTCTATTTCATGTATGTTAGCATATCCATTCAAGATCGAATAAAACTAATGTGAGCAGTTTTCGGACAGATCTGACCTGGTTCCTTCAGCGTCCGGTCCCTCGTCGGATGTCCCGCGACGTTCTAGTACGCGAACTCAAACAGGATCAGTTGGTCACCAAAAGCGTACGCACCAAGATGACTCGGGCGTGGGCAAGTAAGGGGTATAGCAGGCGTCCCCAAGCGTAGTGGAGTGATGAGCTGTAGTAGCGGAACGCAGTTTACGCCGCACGACTTGGCGAGACGAGTCGTTCCAACAAAGGCTACCAATTGCGCAGTAGCAGTGGTAGTGCGTCGTAGCCGAACGAGAAAATGCGCATTAGCAGTAACGGGTGGCCGTTTTTTTTTTATCTAGTTCGTTTATTTGGAAGGCTCAATCGCGTTAGCTTTACGGAGCCGATAATTCATTGTTCACTGTGTGTAACAAAATTCACTTAATTCTATGTCTAGTAGGAGTTGGGCCGATTACTCGCGGCTTACTCGAGGTTAAAAGGGTACATTTTCGAAGGATAGGATCAGGGGAGGAGCTTGGGGTAGGGTTTCGTTGTCTCATCAGAGCGTTGTCGCCAGTATGAACGGTAGTGCTGTTCTAGCTTCGTCCGGAGTTCGACCGGCTATGGTGGGTGACCAGTGGGCGACGATGAGACTCATCGACGATGAGACAAACAAAAACTAATAAAGAGAGACAAAAGACAAAAGGAATTAAATTCTTATACTAGACATTTGAAGAAAAACATAAACGGACTGCATATAGCAGAGATCACGGGTTGCCAACACGTCTGTGATAGGAACATAGGGTTGTCTTCCTTGGGCCTCGAGGGTATTCATAAGTCGCTCTCTGGCGGCGTCATTATCCGTACATTGCCAAACTGCGTGTTCGATGTCATCGTAACCGTTTCCACACCGACAGATGTTGCTGTCCACGAGGTTTATTCTATTGAGATGAGCATCTAGCGAGTAGTGGTTGGACATAAGTCACGACGCGAATGAAGTCACGACTTAAGCCCAAGCCTTTAAACCACGGTCTCGAAGAAACATTAGGAATAATTGAATGTAACCACCGTCCATGATTTCCAGTGTCCCAGTCGGTTTGCCAACTCGAAAAGGTACTCTGACGCACTAAATGGTAAAATTCATCGAGTGAGATTTGCCTGTCATACAATTCGCCTTCCTGCGCGCCCACCTTTGCGAGAGAGTCCGCCTTCTCATTGCCTGGGATTGAGCAATGTGAGGGGACCCATACAAAGGTAATCATATATGATCTTTCGACCAGCACACACATCTGCTCCCTTACCTTTGAAAGGAAATAAGATGAGTGCCTACCTTGTTTCATCGACCGAATAGCCTCAATCGAACTGAGACTATCCGTGAAGATGAAGTAATGGTCTGCGGGCATGTTGAAAATCATCTCCAATGCGAAGTTGATTGCTGCCAGCTCAGCAACAAAAACGGAACAAGGTTCCTGAAGTTTGCGGAAGGCGCTACAGTTTTCATTGAAGACACCGAAGCCAGTGGATCCATTGAGACGGGACCCGTCTGTAAAATATTTTTTCATGCAATTGACTTGTTGGTAATTTTCAGTAAAAATACGCGGAATAATAATAGGTCGAAGTTCATCGGGAAGCCCATGAGTTGCTTGTTTCATGGTCAGATCATATTCAATTGAGGAACTGCGATTGGTGAAGTGAACACGGTCTTGAGTATAACAAGGAAGACACATATCTGATGATATGTAGTGGTGGTAGATTCTCATAAATCGAGATTGTGTGTTCAGCCCAAGAATTTCTTCAAAATTAGCAATTATAAGTGTGTTTGTCACTCCGCATTTGATTAGTATTCTGAGAGAGAGCTCCCAGAAACGGTTCTGGAGGGGTGTTACTCCTGCCAGAACCTCGAGACTCATGTTATGCGTTGAGTGCATACAGCCTAGAGCAATACGCAGACAACGATATTGAATTCGTTCCAATTTTATTAGGTGACTTTTTCTTGCCGAGAGAAAGCAGAAAGAGCCGTACTCTAGAACAGAGAGAATAGTTGTTTTATAAAGCGTTATGAGGTCTCCCGGATGAGCACCCCACCATGTGCCGCAAATTGAACGGAGAAAGTTGTTCCTCTGCTGACATTTTTGCTTCAAATACGTAATATGGGCATTCCAAGTGCACTTTGAATCAAACCAGACCCCAAGGGGTAATGTTTCTGCCCAAAAGATTAAGCTGCATTTGGGCTGGGTACCGCTTTAGAGTAAACACTACCAGTTCAGTTTTCTGCGGCGAGAATTCGATCCCTAGATTCATAGCCCAAGAAGACAAGTTATCTAAGGAATTTTGCAATGGTCCTTGCAAGTCCACGGCATGTGGACCTCTTACGGAAACC